CTCTCTCTCTCTCTCTCCATCTCTCTCTTTCTCTCTCTCTCCTTCTTTCTTTTTTTTTTTTTCTTTAGTGGCAGAATAGACCCGACATGAAGTGGACAGGCGTGGCCGTCCTGGGCATGGTGTCCCGTGGTGCTCACTTGCCCTCCACTGTGCTGTGGCAGTACTCTTAGCTCTCTGCTCTTACAGTGTCTCTGAGAGTGCGACCCAAACACACCATGAGCCGTTCCTGTGTTGCTGTCCCAGCTTGTGCATTCCCACTGAGCCACTGGGTGCCTGTCTTCCCATTTCCTGCTCTGTGCCCTGGTCCTTGGTTCCCAAGGTGGGGCTTTCCAAGTCCTCCCCTCCCCCAAATGTCACTGTGAGTCTAAGGTGAGTGTCAGCACCTCCCACGTCCCCTCCACGCCACCCTCCCCAGGGTCACTCTGGTTCGGCTCTGATCCTCAGACCCTCTTTCCTGCAGGCATTTCCTCCTGTGTTCCTGTCTTTCTGCAGGTCCAGATAAAACTGACAGGCACTTTTGTCCTTTTATCCCTGTCCCCTGATTTTTCTGACAAGACCAGAAGTTTTCAGTGACCCGAATCTTCGCAGCAGGATTGGACCTTCTCTGTCTCTAATCATATCAAGTTGAATGAGTGAGGGATGAGCTGTAACTCAGTCGGCCACATGCTCGCCTGGCATGCACAGTCTGAGTTCCATCCCCAGTACCAGTACATGAACCAGGTCTGTGTAATGGACTCAGGAGGTCGAGGCAGGAGGATCCAAGGTTCCAGGATTCTCTTTGGCTGTGTAACAGAGTCTGAGGCTAGCCCTGGCTATGTGAGACCCTGTCTAATAAAAAGGAGAAAAGCTGTATAAATGAACAGTGTTTTTCTTGGATCTCCTGACTTTGGCTCGTCTTGGGGGACAGCATGGATGTGTCCTGTCTACGTGGTGGGCTGGCAGTCTGGGTCACTCCAGCCACAGACTTTCTCCCTTTGTTCTTGCTAATGCTCAGTGTCTGTCACTGCTGTGTCTCTCTCCACCTCACCTTCGCCGTTCCATTGTTACAGGCTTTCTATGATCTGTCCTGTGTTTTCCCTCTAGTCAGGAGTGGCAGGAAAGGACGCCGGCGAGTGTTCAGCCTGTCGGAGGCCGACAGTCACGGCGGCCACTGGGTTTAGTGCTTCGACCAGCAGCTGCCACGGCACCTCACGCACAATCAAATCAGGCAGGTCTCCTTCCGGAGCCCCCCTGGGCCCATGATATCCCTGCCACATGCGACAGGGTCGGCGTGAGCAGGGCGGGAAAGCTGGGCCGCACCATCCCAATCTTAGCTTCCCTAAAGTCAGTTCTCTTCCTTTCTGTCCTCTGTCTAAGGCCACACACGCCAACCCTCTGCCCCCAGGTCCTTCCTTGGTAACCTAGAGCACTGCAGTTATTCCTAACGACCCATCCAACATCAGGCTCAGTGTAGTCTCAGAGTAAGCCCTGAGCTGGAGGCCATGTCCACACAAATACCTGCAATTGACTAGAGAATTGTGAGCTTGTAAAAGCAACCTAGAATGTTCTTTCCCAGGCCTTGGCCAAAGCTAAGCAGCAAATGCAGCTGCTATCCAGGCCCAATGCTACCTCCTTGATGGACGCCATCTTTCCCGTGCCCCAGTCACTTTAAACATCACTAGGAGAGGGGAGCAGCTGGGCTCTCCTTGTCAGAGCCACGGCTGCTGCCCTCCTGGGACTTTCCCCCATGTGCTGACAGTGGGTGTCAGCAGGAGCCTTCACTTTCTTTTCAGTTTGCCTGCTGACCCTCTGAGCTTTGCGTCAGCATGCTATGTGGAGCCCGCCCTTCCTTCTTTCCTTCCTTCCTTCCTTCCTTCCTTGCTTCCTCCCTCCCT